AGACTCAAAAGCTGCACACTGTTTAGTAATGCAGGTGCGTAGCCATGTTGGCCTGAAGCAACAGTTCAACGTTTGAATCCAGTGGCCCCTTTAAGACCAACAAAGTTTAATTCTGGGTATAAGCTTTTGTGTGCACTTCTTCAGAAGTGTGCCTGGACATGAAAGCTTCTACCCAGAATTACACTTTGTTGGTCTTAAAGGTGCCACTGGATTCAAACTTTGATTCCCCACTCCTCTGCATGCAGCCAGCTGGGTGACCATGGGTCAGTCACAGTTCTCTCAGAGAGCTATTCTCTCAAGAGCAGTTCTCTGAGAGCTCTCTCAGCCCCACCTACCTCACAGGGTGTTTGTTGTGGGGAGAAGAAGGGAAAGGAGATTGTAAGCCACTCTGAGTGAAGAACAGGGTATAAATCCAACGCTACTGCTACTTCTTCCTCTTTCTCTTCTTTGTTCTACTGTTTAGTAATGTCATGGTTGGTCCCCATAAATAGTCCTAATGAAAGCCCCTCTCAGGTGTTACCTTTCTGGGGCTCTTATCTCACATACCTGGACAGCACACTACACCTGATCCTGCAATTGCTGTTTTGTGTGAAACGGGACAGCTTGCACGTTTTCCAGTCACAGATGGCTTCCCTGCAGGATTTTGAAGGCAAGAGATGGACAGCGGCGGTTTACTGTTGCCTGCCTTTGTATAGCAACCCTGGACTTCCTTGGTGGTCTCACATGCAAATATGAATCATGGCCAACTCTGCTTAGCTTTTGAGATCTGATGATTTCGGGTTAGCCGTGGCCATCCATGTCAGAGCATTTTTGGAGGGCTTTTAAAAAAACGAATGGCTGGCAGAGAGCCAGTTTGGTGTATAGTGGGTAAGTGAGGGGATGCTAGTCTGGGAGAACCGGGTTTGATTCCCCACTCTTCCACTTGCAGCTGCTGGATGACCTTGGGCAAGCCATAGTTCTGATAAGAGCTGTTCTTGAAAAAGAGCAGTTCTCGAAAGAGCTCTCTCAGCCCCACCAGGCTCACAGGGTGTCTGTTGTGGGGAGGGGGAGGGAAAGGAGTCTGTAAGCCGCTCTGAGACACCTTCGGGTAGTGAAGGGCAGGGTATAAATCCAATCTCTTCTTCTTCTCTTCTTCTTCAAACTCAGCCCAGAGAGAGCCAGTATGGTGTAGTGGTTAAGAGCGCGGACTCTAATCTGGGAGAACCGGGTTTGATTCCCCACTCCTCCACATGCAGCTGCTGGTGTGACCTTGGGTCAGTGACAAGTTCTCTCAGAGCTGTTCTCTCACGAGCAGTTCTCGAAAGAGCTCTCTTAGCCCCACCCACCGCACAGGGTGTCCGTTGTGGGGAGGGGAAGGGAAAGTAAGATGCTCTGAGACTCCTTCAAGTACTGAAGGGTGGGGTATAAATCCAATCTCTTCTTCTTCTTCTTCTCAATCAGAGCCAGCCAGATTGAGAGACGGGGAGCTGGGGATATTACATTTCCAAGAACCAGGGGAAAAACCAGCTCACAGAGCTGGAGGAACAAAAAAGTCATTTACGTCCAACCCTTTACATCAAACTAGGGCTGTTCCCCCTACAGATCAACTTTTGCAATTTGAGTCATTGGTTAATTAAGACTTTTTATGGCTCTATACAGTTTCTTATTCCTCCCTATGGCGAAGGTGAACAGAGGTGGGGGAAGAGATACAAATATATGCACATTTTTAAAGCATTGCATAATTCATCTGTATCACTAGAGTTGTGCTTTCTTGGCATAGTCGTTTCCTTTGCACACACCAGGAAAGGGTCCAAGGCACGGCTGTGCCCTTGACTACATCAGATATAAACATCTCTGAATGACCCATTATGGCTAACTAGTACTAACAAACTGGGCGGTGATTTGATCGATAACTTCTTAATCACCCCAACCAGCTGGAACGTGCAGTAGCTGCAATTATGGCTGTGTGAAAAGTTTGACAAATGGCCGTGCAGAGAATTTTCCGGCTTTCACCAAGCGACACGGTCTACAAGCATGGCCTCCCGCTGCCAGCAAAGCAAGAATTTCAGAATAAATCTGAAGTTTCTCTCCACAGATTTTTGGCAGGCTGGAGCACTCGGGGGTGGGATTGCTGTGGAGGGATGGAGAGAGGAAGAGACAGAGAAGAAATTTGAAAAATATCACCTCAGAGAGCTTTGGAAACCTCCGTGGCTGCCAGTTCTAACAATTTCATTCCGGCAGCCAGTAGTACAACTGAACAATCCAGGATCAACAAATGGCGTGTTTTCGTATTCTCAGTTGGGCCCGTATCGTCACTGCCACAACTTAACACTAGTGTTCCCTCTAAGCTGAGTGAGTGTGAGCCAGCTCACAGTTTTTTAGCCTCTGGCTCACACATTTTTGTCTTAGCTCAGGAAGGATGGCTCCAGAGCAGACAAATTTATGCAGTAGTCAAATGGCTCGCTCACAACTTTAATGCCAGTAGCTCACAAAGTAGAAATCTTGCTCACAAGACTCCACAGCTTAGAGGGAACATTGCGTAACACCCGTTGAAAATGGCTGCCTCGAGATGGCTACCACAGGGAAAGGGTGATGAATGACAAAGAGCAAACCACAGTGCTTGTTACAGAATGGGGCGATTATTTCATTCTTTTTCACCAAGGTGGGTTCCTTCCACTGATGGGGTTGGGGAAAATTTAACAAAAATATACCTTATGCAGGTGGGCATTTAGGAAAGGAATTGAGGGGATATTGTGTGGGGGTTAGTTTTAAACCACTTTGTTTCTTTAAACTGAATCAGACCTGAAAATGATGGAACTTAATACAGAATTGTATTGTATAGTGTATAACTTTATTTTTAACAGTATAACTTTATTTGTAACTTAATGAGTATACCACAGAAGCGCCAACTGGCAAATGCTTGTGACGCCACAAAGATACCCCAGTAGAGTGGTTTTTTAAAACTCTTAACAGTATAACTTTATTTGTAACTTAATGACTATAACTGTATTTTTAACTGTGATTGTTTAAACGTCTTAGTGTTTTTAACGTTTGCTGCCTCGTGGGCCCTGATTGGTTGGAAAGATGGCATAAAAATGTTTTAAAGAGATGTATCTATCCCGCCATCATCCCGCAATAAAATAGGTCTAAAAACAATACATAAAGTGCTAGCGCAATATAACGATGGCTGGCATCTGACAGTCAGCTGGCATTATGGTCTGGGTCGTATCGGCGGAGCACAGGCTATTCACGTTGGTGTAATATTGATATTAATATGGATGTTCATATTGGGGCCAGGGCTTCAGATTGATGTATGTAGCTCCCTAACCGAAGGCCTGCTGGAAGAGTTCCATTTTACAGGCCCTGCGGAACTGTAAAAGGTCCCGTAGGACCCTGATGTGTTCTGGGAGCTCATTCCACCAGTAAGGAGCCACCACTGAAAAGGCCCTGGCTGTTGTCACTGCTACCCTGGCTTCTCTGGGGCCTGGAAGAGCCAAGCGGTTTTGGGACCCCAATCGTATAATTTCTGAATAGCGGTATGCACAAATGACAGAGAGATGCAGCATAATCTTTCTTACTTTCCCCTTCAGAATCAAGCCTGGAAAGGGGCAGTAGGGAGAAAGTTCTGGAAACTTAAAAACAGAAGCGCCAACTGGCGAATGCTTGTGACGCCACAAAGGTACCCCAGTAGAGTGGTTTTTAAAAACTCTTTAATATTTGCATATTGGTTTATGTTCTTAAGAGAAAATGTGAATGTTTAAAGACATATACATTCACAAAGCATTTGAAATGCTTTTGTATTGTTCTTCAAATGGCAAAGCCCAGAGACAGCTGGGCACAAGGCAGGTGAAGAGCCGGCTGAGACTTTTTTTAAAAAAAATTGTCCATCGTCACCACGGAGAGCAACATTTATGAAGAAATGCAGAGGGACCTGGGTGTACACCAAAAATACGGATTCACTGTCCACAGTATATCCAGAGCTCCTGAAATATGAGTGATCTATGCCAAGTCTGGATGGGCGGTGGCAACTTTACCTTCAGCCTCACGTCTGTTACAATTTGCAAACTCATACATCCTGGTATGAAAATTATTGAGCTTTGTGTGTGTGTGTGTGATTTTAAACAAATGTGTTTTAAGCAAATGTGAACAGATAAAAGGAAGTCCTTCTTCACCCAAAAAGTGATTAACACATGGAATTCACTGCCACAGGAGGTGGCGGCGGCTACAAGCATGGACGGCTTCAAGAGGCAATTAGATAAGCATATGGAGCAGAGGTCCATCAGTGGCTATTAGCCACAATGTATAGATAGGGGCTCTGGGGCAAGGGATGCTTGGGGGGGCAACAGTGGGAAGGGCTCCTAGTGTCCTGGCCCCGCTGCCGGACCTCCTGAGGGCACCTGGTGTTTTTGGCTACTGTGTGACAGAGTGTTGGACTGGATGGGCCAATGGCAGCATGATCCAACATTGACGTCTCTTCTGTTCTTAAGATTCAGAACCGGTGAGATAAGAGGACAGGTGAGGTACAAAGAGGGATGAATCACATCCCAATAGCTGTCCCGACATGCAGAGTTGCCCAGGCAAGGTGAAGTGAGGATGAATAAGACGGAACAGAATGGGTGTATTTTATCCCTCCATCCATCCAGGCAGTGCCGGATTTACGCATAAGCTAAATAAGCTACAGCTTAGGGCCTCGCAATCTGCTGGGGCCTCAAATAAAAACACAATATAAAAAATGATTTCAAATATTAAAAAGGCGTATATATTTTAAATTTTTCTGAGACCAGCTGATGTAATTTAAAACAGTACGGGGCCTCTGGGTTTTGTACAGTTTAGGGCCTCAACGAGTCTAAATCCGGCCCTGCATCCACCCATTTGTTTTCATGTGCAGTCCACCTTTCTCACTGGCACTTAGGGCGGATTGCAAGCACGGGCAAACCATCCCAGTCGGTCTGCAAAGTGCAAACCGATGGCAAAACACGATCAAAAGTTGACTCTAAGAGCAACGATTCCTGGATTTAAAAATGTACTGCAGCAGGGCTGGCGCCGAAGGACTGGAAGGGCTCCTCTCCGGGCTCCAAGCGCCACGAAGCCCTGCAACGGCTGGGTCGCGTTTTTACGCCCTTCCGCTTTCCCCCTCCCCGCTTGGGAAGCGGAGGCGCCGCCCGGCTTTGCCCTCCTCCGGGCGGACGGCGCTTGCCACCCGCCCGCCCACTCCCGTCGCCGTCGCAACGGCAGCCGCCAACTGCGAGAGCGGCGGGATGTTGCCGGGACGCCGCCGCTTGACCTGGGGGGACCTCAAACCTGCCCAGACGCGAGATGCATTCGGGTCGTGCCAGGAGAGGAGAATCTTCCCCTTTTTCCACGCACCTGACCGGTTAGGGAACGAGTATGCGCCCATGACCGGGGATCCCAGCCTGGGGCCCGGAGCTTACGACCATGCGGAGAGGAGCGGCCTCGTCTACCGCCTCGCTCACCGCCCGGAAAGTAATAAAGGCTACATTTTGGGAGCGAGAACGACCCCGCGCTTTGCAGCCTCTAGCAAGTATGTGACACCTGGCCCGACGGCCTACCAGGCTGTGCTGGCCAAAGAGGAAAGGGCTCGGCCGAAAGGGGCTGCGTTTTCCAGCAAGTCGCCACGGTTTTCGCAGAAGGTTCCCGAAGCAGAGCTACTGCCAGGCCCTGGGACTTACGACCCTTACAAGATGCCTCACAGGCATGTCACCTGGCCAGGGAAGTTTGGGGCCCCGGACTGGTCTTTGGTACCAGCACCGGCGAAAAGGACTCTAAAGACTGAGCTGGTTGTAGACAGAGCGTTCAGGAAGCAGCGGAACCTGTTGGCCTACCTGAGCCTGTATTACCGCACATAATTCTGCTGTTCGGAGTGTGTTTTTTCCTCCTATGTACTTAGACTACTACTTTGCCTTGTTGTTATTACATAGAGTTTAAAGCATCGTTACACTAATGTGATAGTCCTGGGTGATTTGATTGTTGTTGTCATGGTTTAGCTTTGGGTTTATTTCTTTTAATGCTGCTTACCTTCCTAAGTTTAGATTGCCTGGTTCAGAATTCTCAAGAAATCTCATAATAAATGTTTGTAACCATTTGTTGTTGTTGTTGTTGTTTAGATTTATATCCCGCCCTCCCAGCGGACGGGCTCAGGGCGGCTCACAGTTAACGGCACCATGTGCCAAGATAAAATAATTAAAACAAGATAAAACAGTCCGACATTACATACGCTTCAATGCAGTTAATACTATAAAGTGCTGGTAGTGATAGCCATTCTTCGTTCAGTTTGAGGTGGCGTGTAAAGGTAAAGGTTCCCTCGCTCGAAAGCCAGTCGAGTCCGACTCTAGGGTTGCGGTGCTCATCTCTGTTTCCAAGCCGAAGAGCCAGCGCTGTCCGAAGACGTTTCCGTGGTCATATGGCCAGCATGACTAAACACCAAGGCGCATGGAACGCTGTTACCTTCCCACTGAAGCGGTACCTATTTATCTACTTGCAATTTCTTGCTTTCGAACTGCTAAGTTGGCAGGAGCTGGAACTAGAGACGGGAGCTCACTCCGTCATGCGGCACACTCGGGTCTCGAACTGCTGAACTACTGCCCTTCCACAGCCTGCAGTTCAGCGTCTTAACCACTTGAGCCACCGCAGCTCCGTGAGGTGGCGTGTAAACAGATGTAATACTAGGGCCCCGCTTTAGCGATACTTCGGCCTCCCATGGTGCTGCTGCCTCGATCTCCTTTAAAGACAGTTTCACCTGTAGGGTCTTGGCTAATTAATAGGATTTCTTTTATATATTGCAACCCCTGGAGACAATACATCTTTTGTTTGTTTTCCACCTGTGCCATAAACTCAAAAATTTGAAAACTTCCCCTTAGGCTCATCCATGCAACATGTTTCTTATTCTGCTACATGGGAGGAAGCACACAGGTAACATGGAACATGTTCATAATGCCATCATGTGCCCATTCCAAAGCAGTCCAGTCTACTAGCTGCTGCTTCCATCTCCTCTGTGGCAGTTGATATTTCTGTACACCCCACTCTGTAAACATCTCTTGCAATTTCCTTTGAGCACCTTTGATATCATTAGTCATGTATGGCTGCGAGAGTTGGACTATAAGGAAGGCCGAGCGCCGAAGAATAGATTCTTTTGAACTATGGTGCTGGAGAAGACTCTTGAGGGTCCCTTGGACTGCAAGGAGATCAAATCAGTCAATCCTAAAAGAAATCAACCCTGACTGTTCCCTGGAAGGCCAGATAATGAAACTGAAGCTCAAATACTTTGGCCACCCAATGAGAAGGGAGCACTCCCTGGAGAAGACCCTGATGCTGGGAAAGATTGAAGGTCAAAGAAGACGGGGACGGCAAAGGATGAGATGGTTAGACAGTGTCATAGATGCAACGAACATGAAGTTGAGCCAACTTCAGAGGACGGCGGAAGACAGGGAGGCCTGGCGTGATCTGGTCCATGGGGTCACGAAGAGTCGGACTCGACTGTGCAACTGAACAACAACAACAACCTTTAATATCTCCAAATAGTTGGCTTCCACTTCATAATTTCATATGGAAGATCTGGAGCCACATGTGTTCCCTAAACATGACTTCCCTTATATTTCTTGTAAGCGTGTGAACTCTGATTGATTACTCCCACAACAAAGTAGAAGTATTTTTTTTTCAATTGGCAAAATAAACCTGCAAACCTACATAAGTGCCAGGCCTTGCAGTGTAAATCCTGCATCTCCATATTTTTTCCTATCCATCCGATCCCCTGCTTATTATTGTAATTAGTCATCTTTGGCACTAATAGCCATGTGTATTTTTTTTGTCTCTTGAGATAACTTCAATGAATTAATGAAATTCAAACCAACAGCGATCCACTCAAGATGTAATAGACAGGCGCCCATGTGCATGTACCAAACAATACCTGAATACCTTTTGGTCAGAGCAAACAGTGAAAGTACAAAATTAAAACCACTCCTTCTGAACTCCATTGCAGTTGTCCTGAATATATAGTCCTTTTCAGGGCCATGGTTGTTGCAACGGGGGTCAAACGACACATGACGGCATCCTCGTGTCCACCACGGGGACGCCACCGTCACCATTTTAAAGCCTAAAATGGGTGATTTAAAGATGCTCTGCGGGCCCGATCCTGATTGAGCCCATAGCATGGCGGGGCAAGGCACTCCCCCCTCCCTGCACCTTTTCAAGAGCTAAAACAGCTGCGGGGGAGGGGCGCAGTCATTTCGGAGCTTGAAAAAGTGCAGGAGGAAACAAGAGCTCATCCCGCCGCGAGCTTCATCCCGCCACGATCCCACAGTCCTCACCATGAACGTATTTGGTGGTCCTGTTGGGGTATTCTTTAATATTTTTAAAGTAAATCAGCAGAGTAAATCAGCAGAGTATATCAGCAGAGTATTAAAGAGGCAGAGTCCATGTTGTGTTTAAATATAAAAGTTTACTACAACCTAGCATGGGGAAAAGGTATACGGGATGTAAAATAACAAAGAGCTAATATTCCTACATCCTTACAGCTAGACAGAACATGGCAGAAAAAAGGGGAGAAGACTAGCTTCTTCTTGCTCTGGACAAAGAGCCATAAAATGCTAATACTTGGCACTCTGGTCTCCAATCAGAACAACAAACTAGATCTGAAGTTACCGGGCTTTCTAACTCTCTAAACCCATTGGTTACAAACAAACATGTGATTTAGTAAACAGTATTAACCCAGTAAACACTGAAGAAGAAGTGTTTTAACTTGTAACACCCAACAGGTCCAAGGTCCTTGCTCCCATTTTCCCCAGTGAAAAAGCATGGCTGTATTCAATCCTGTGTCTTGGTTTTTATTCTTGATGGATTTTTTAAATATTGCTGATTCTGTTTGGGGCAAGGGGGAGGCATATTGTTTAGAGTCCGGCTCAAGGGAAAGGCAGTGTATGGATGGTCTTAATAAATACATAGATGCAGCTCCAGAGCTGCCGGCTTCTTTTATACTGAACAGAACCATATACAGGATAATTAGGGGATGGGAGGGGGTTCTGATGGTGAAAGGAAAAACCAACTCTTCTTCTTCTACATCTTGCTGCATTTATAGAAGAATACATTATGGTACTGCCTGGAACAGGATTGTTCTGGGGTTCCCTTAAGATATTTATCTTGAGAGCCAGTTTGGTGTAGTGGTTAAGAGTGGTGGACTCTAATCGAAGAACTGGGTTTGATTCCCTGCTCCTCTACATGAAGCCAGCTGGGTGACCTTGGGCCAGTCCCAGCTCTTTCAGAGCTCTCTCAGCCCCTAAAGACAAGCCTAGCTCATAGCTAAGAGCTAGAACTTGCAGCTGCCAGACAATCTCAGGATCCCCTGGCTACTCTACACACAATACCATACGATAATTAATCTTTAATTAATTAACCTTTAAGACACAAATCAAAGATCATGGAAATATGATACCCGAAGAGGGCAAGTATAACTATAAAGCTAAAATTAGACCTGTTCTATGCCCAGTAGAAATGCTTTTGTATTTAGAATTTACAGTTTAGAAGAACTGTAAATCCAGAATAGTTCCAAGTTCAGTTTAACTCATTTTAGAGAGATCCTAATAAATGACATAGCATGTACTGAATTATGGCCAGTACCCCGGGGCAAGTTAAAATATGGGAAAGTATCGTATATAACAATAAAATATGCGAAAGTATCGTATATAACAAGATTTGGGGAAGCTGAAATAGTATATTATGATGGATGCCTACGATGGGTAAACCTAGACCATCTGTCATTAATAAGTAACACTGCAACTATTATAACTGAATATTATGATCTGTGCAAACTATAAAATCATGATGGAGGGGCTGTGTGACTCAATAGTAGAGCCTCTGGTTGGCATGCAGAAGGTCTCAGGTTCAATCCCTGGCATCTCCAGTTAAAAAGGCAGTCAGCGATGTGACAGATTTCTATGTGAAGAGCTGCTGCTGTCTGAGTAGACAATCCTAACCTTGATGGCTCAGTGGTAGAGCATCGGCTTGGCATGCAGAAGGTCCCAGGTTCAAGCAATGATAGCCGCCCTGAGCCATTTGCGGGGAGGGCGGGGTATAGATACAAAAATAAATAAAATAAAGAAATCTTCAGTTAAAAGGATCAGGTAATCTTGTTGTTCAGTCGCACCTGGCTGGATGACCTTGGGCAAGCCATAGTTCTGATAAGAGCTGTTCTTGAAAAAATAACAGTTTCTGTCAAGAGCTCTCTCAGCCCCACCTACCTCACAGGGTGCCTGTTGTGGGGAGGGGAAGGGAAAGGAGTTTGTAAGCCGCTCTGAGACACCTTTGGGTAGTGAAGGGCGGGGTATAAATCCAATCTCTTCTCTTCTTCTTCAATCAGTTGTTCCATATCCGGTTCTAACTGTCACTTCTTGACCCTTATACAGGTTTCTCAAGAGACATGTGAGGTGGTCTGGTACTCCCATCTCTTTAAGGACCTGCGATAGTTTGTTGTGATCCACACAGTCAAAGGCTTTAGCATAGTCAATGAAGCAGAAGTAGATGTTTTTCTGGTACTCTCTTGCTTTCTCCATAATCCAGGGAATGTTGGCAATTTGATCTCTAGTTCCTCTACCTCTTCGGAACCCAGCTTGTACTTCTGGCAGTTCTCTATCCATGTACTGTTGAAGCCTAGCTTGTAGGATCTTGAGCATGACCTTGCTAGCGTGTGACATGAGTGCAATTGTGTGATAGTTTGAACATTCCTTGGCATTGCCCTTCTTTGGGATTGGAATGTATACTGACCTTTTCCAATCTCGTGGCCACTGTTGCGTTTTCCAAATTTGCTGGCATATTGAGTGCAGCACTTTAGCAGCAGCATCTTTTAAGACTTTGAATA